AGTAATTTTAGTGCCTCAACTTTTCTAATTTAGTTTTCCATCTCATTTATATTTGATCGCTTTATTTCAATTAATAAAAATTGCTTTTAATAGTTCTAGTTTTAGTTAACGATAATAATTCTACTTATAAATACAACCATAGTACAGCTTTTTTTTTTTTTTACTCAATAATGTTAACCAATATTGTATTCACAAATAATTTTCCATTAATTACCCAACACAATTTCAGTAATAAATGCTAACAGGCTCTGCACTCTGTGTTTTTGTTTATGCCCGCAGGGCCCGGGCCGGGGCGTTATGCTCTTCCACCCACTATCGGTTACATCAACCATGACTACACCAAACCCAGCAGCCCGGCCTATTCCTTCCACAGCCGCATGAGCAGCAACAGTGAGTGACACCACATGAAATCAAACACTTCTCACACTGACAGATGACATGATCCACTCAACTAATGCTGGGTTTGGTCATCTGAGAATGCTTTTAACACACGTGTTCATTGATAAAATGGATATATATCAACCTGGCACTCATATGAACTGATAATTTCATAGATTAATTAGTGTCTATTATGCAGTATTGAAATATTAGGTGGATTTACACACACTCAAATATTTACACGCCTAATTAGTGACATGTAACGCCTGCTTCCTCATGGAAGAAACTGAGAACACCCAGTCTGATCAAAGTATTCATACAAAAATCCTTGCACATCTGGACTTTATATCACAAACAACAGCATGCAATATAATGATTAATGTTATTTCACTGGCATATTAAGCTGATAAAATCCACATGCTTGATTTTAATCCATATGTTTGATTTTAATTCACTTTAAATAGCATTTCTCTAGCTCAAACAGTAGAGCATGATACTAGCGACAGCAACACTCTCAGAAAAAATGATACAAAACCTGACACTGAGACAGTACCCTTTCAGAAAGGTACACTTTTGTACCTCAATTACCCTCAACCTTTAAATACTTTAAAGGGGTCATATGATGCTTTTTTAAAGATCATTATTTTGTGTATCTGGTGTAACAGAATATGTTGACATGCTTTAATGTTAAAAAAACACATTATTTTTAAAATACTGTACATTATTGTAAGTCCTCTATGCCCCGCCTCTCTCTCTCAAACGCTTAGTTTTCTACAAAGCCCCCTCCTTTGACAAGCGCAGTCTGCTCTGATTGGCCAGCTGACCCAGTGCATTGTGATTGGCCGAACACCGCAAGCACTCGTCGGAAATGTAACGCCCCTTACCATAATCGCGAGCTTCAGCTTTCAAAATAAATGTAAAGACAAAGCCCGAAAGGGGAACAGAGTCGCGTGACAGACATAGTGATGAAGCTGGTATGTGTGCAGTACACAAGCCACGGTTAAGACAGCTGACTCCACTGTGATGTGACCCTCTCTCTCTCTCTCTCTCTCGCGCGCTCTCTCTCTCTCTCTCACGCGCTCTCTCTCTCTGTCTCTGTCTCTCTCTCTCTCTGGCGCTCTCTCTCTCTCTCTCTCTCTCTCACAGCGCGCACACACACACAAGATGCGCAAAACTCCGCATTTGAACAGTCAATAACAAATACTTAAACTAATAACAAAAAAGTAGCTGATTCAGAAGCGCCAGATTGTCATAGCAAAGTCAGAATTACCTCCTCTCCTAGGTTCACGAAACGGTCGTCCATAAAATGCATTGCTGTTCTGTTGTAAGTAATCTTAAATAACTTTTGGCGCTCTAGCGGTTAATAAACAGAACTGCACACATCCCGCGGAAGAACATTCCAACCGGAGCTACTTCTCTAAGTTTATTTCTATGGCGATTCACGCAGGTATGTGTTACCCCGCAGCGGTCCGACCAGGCTACAATAGTCCAAATATAAGTACTTATTATAAGTGTACCGTAGTGATTCGGAATAAGACAAATACGCGGGTTGGAAGATTAATTCATGATGTACTCGCTCATTATATAAATTTAGCACATTTTGAACACAGAAAAAGTTACATAGTGCTGCTTTAAAGGTACATATTATTACCTAAAATTAGTACCTAAATGGTTCCTTTTACCATCTCAGTGACAGCTTTCCTACCAGCTTTTTTCTGAGAATGATGTTGCTTTGCATACAAGTGTCTGCCAAATGTAATTCACTACATTCTGGTGTGTTTTCTCATAATGTTGCTTTTGAAAAGTGGTGTCTGTGGATTCCAGTCCAGGACCGCAATATCATGTAGATGCCAAAATGACACGCTTTGGTAGAGACGGTACCCCATCGTACTCCATGCTGGGCAAAAAGAAGAAGACAGGTGAGTTTTCACCTTTTTTTATTACACACATCTGATGTGTATGAAGTCAACATGCAATGGCATACGCAACACGTTTTACTTCTGTAACCGCAACCGTCAGGTTCCATAAGTAAAAATCCCATTCATTTTCTCCATAGGGGAATTGATTTTTTTAAAGATAACTTTTTAAAGTCATACCTACTATGAGCTACAAGGTTGTTAATTTATGTTAGGCTATATGCTTTTGTTGGAGCCAGCAGACTGCATTATTTCAACTTCTTTTAAAATCATGTTTAACAGCTGATTCCTTAGTGAGAAGCTGAATTTCCCATGATTCCTCAAAGAAATTGGAAACAAGCAAATTGCACCAAAAAACTTTACTGCCCACCCACTCCCATGAAGCACCTCAAATGAGAGTCCCTCTCCCTACACTCTCAAACTACTTTAATAATTGCATTTTCAGTATATGCATTTTTTTTTATATACATGAACATTTTTCAATCATTAGTTTTATATTTATCCATTGTTTTTATTTAGATTGTCTTTCGCTATGCTGCATCATGGGATTGTAGTTCTTTCCCTCAGTAAAGTAGTTAAGTACACAAACTTGTACCTTTGTCTTTTTGTCAGATATTTAAATATGTTTGTAATGTTGAAGTTGAAAAACAAGTGGGCGCTCAATAAGAAACTCTCACTCTATAAGAAAAAAAAAATGGGTTGGGCTTAAATTTTATCCATATGGGATTGGTTGTATATATAATGGGCATTGCCAGAATGTAAGGGTTCACTGAGAGAAATTGGTAATGACCCGGAGCCTACAGTCCTGAGAAAGCTCCACCTTTGAACCTTCACCACAGACCTCCGACTTACACCATGGCCTTCCGCACACGCTACCGCATTGTGGATCCTGTACCGGCCCCCAACCGCTACACCTTACCCAACCTCTTCGGCTCTCACGTTCCCCACAAACCCGCCAGCGCCAGCTTCACCATGTCAGCACGCAGGAAAGCAGGCGGCCCATCGGAGGACCTGTCCATGACCCCAGGACCCGGCCGTTACAACAGCACAGAGCCGAGCCTTTACCTGAACAGACAGCCTTCTTTCTCCCTGCAAAGCCGTTGTAATATTCCCACCGATGCCACTCGGAAGCCTGGTCCAGGCACGCACAGCCCAGAAAAGGTGACGGCACACCTGCCTCGTGCACCGTCTTTCTCCATGGGTGTTCGTCACTCGGAGTTTGTAACACCACTGATTGTTGACGTATTAGACTGAAGGGTTTCATGCACTGCTTTGTGGGTACCTATAAAAAGGATTTGGCTGTATGTCAAAAAAAACTATGTTAAGGGAAAAATAAAGTTTTCGGACGAGTCACAATCTTCATTACCTGATATTTGCTTTTATGTAAAGAGATGTTGAACATTTTTCATTTTCATTTACATCAGTTATTTCATAAAATAAAAAGTTTGATCTTGTTTATAATTGTTATTTTTTTAAATATTGTTTTTAATTGAAAATGTAATAAAGCTGAAATAAATAAGAAATATAATAAAATATAAATATCAGATGAAAAACCTTAGCCTTAACAATGAAAATTAGAAATGCTGCCTTGGCAACTAACTGAAATAAAATAAGTTGCTGTTAACAGAAATAAACACATTTTAAGTTGAATTACAAAGCTTAAATATAAATTAAAATATAAAATATTACAAAAACAAAAATGAATAAATTAACTAATAAATAAAACTAATATTAAATGATAAAAACTATTAAATCATGAAGCTATATAAATCAAATTGATAAAATAAAATAAAATGAAAATAAAAATAAATAAAATATAAATATTACACGAACAACCTTAAACTTAAATGAAAATTAGAAATGTTGCCAACTAACAAAAATATGTTGAAGCACTAAAATAGCTAAAACTTAAATAAAAAATAGACTAAAAAATAATATATATTTTTTTACAAAGTACATAACAAACTTAATTAAAATTAAAACTGAAAATATAAAAACTAATTTAAAATATTGTTAAATTCTATAAGAGTGTATAAATAATACTACAAAACAATACACTAGTCAACATTTGAAGTGGATCAAAACCTTTCATCAAAATTGTCCTAAAACCTAAAACCAAAATACATTCTTGTCTTAGGACAACTTTGATGAACTTTTTTGATCCACTTCAAATGTTGACTACTATATTAATAAAAAAAACACCAGTATACCTGTTTTAAAACATTTTTATTAAACTTTTCTGTACAGCTTTGTTACATTGTTTTGTTTTTTTCTTGTGCTTCTTGAAAATCTGTGATTTTTATTGTTTCACAAACCAGTTCAAATCAGTTAGGTAATAAAGAATAGATAAGAACATTTTTAACATGCTTACAGGCTTTGTGATTACATGCAAGTGGAGCCATGCTGGGTGTTTATTATTTTTTGAATGAACAAGATTCTGCACATTGAGCTTGCAAATTGGTTGTCATTGCCTTTATAAACAAGGTTATCCTTTAGTGACCTAATACGAACTAATAATAATCCTAACACATTTGGTTAATGTAGTGTAATGTAATGATTCACCACATCAGTTGATAGATACAGTGGCACTTATTGGTTCACTCCAGTCACTGCTCTGTCCATCATCCAGGGAGTCCTTTGCAGATATTTGGATGTAGTAAGTCCTTCCTGCCACCAGACCACTCAAAACCATTTTATTAGACTCATAAGGGCCCAGCTAGAAAACAAAGAATTTTAAAGTATTAAAAGACCATATGTCCTTCCTGTAGCATGAGGTGACTTTTTAAATACTGCGTTCTGTTTGGTGCCTTTTGTTTCAGTACTTTACAGCTAGGCATGTAGTTGCTTTTAACACCGTTGAACATGGTTTACACAGGAAACTCACTGTTCTTGCTGTCTCAGGTTTGCCCCAGTGGAATTTCACTGTGTATTTAAGGAGAAAGTTGACAGGATCTGGCCAAGTGTGTGGTGGACCCCACTGCACAGACAGCTTCCTGCCTGGCATTACCATCACACTCACATTCACCGGAGGATCAGGTTTCACTACAGACCAACCAAGGACAAGAATTTAAACACTCAATATGAGGTCATGGCATATGCATCAAGATACTGCAAAAGCAGCTGTTTCATCACACAGCAGTACGGTTTTCTGACATAGACCAGCCAAAGCTTAAACTGATCATTTTGGATGTAAATATTTATTTCTATTTAGAATGTCAGAACTTTTCATATTCATATGATTAGGTTTTATTATAATATTCTAACATTTAAAAAAATATACAAATAAAGACAAACCAGTGAAATAAATGAAATGGTATAAAAGAGGACTATGAAAATCTCACCTATCTGCTCAAAACTAATTGGCCATATGCGTGTTGTGCTACCCAGAGCATTAACAGCTGTAATGTTGATGAGAGTTGGTTCACTTGCAAAGATCTCCAGTTGCTCTAACGCACATTGCCTGTCTTGTTCTCCCCATTTCTGGCATTGACGGGCACTTGACAGCGGGTCTGAAAAGCTCCTAAATTAAAATCGAGAAGAACTTTAGCAAATGTTCTGCACAATTATACTTTATTTTTTAAATCATCAAAAATAAGGTGACTTATACAATTCGAGCAATTTACAACAGGTGTACAATTTAAAGTACAGCTCAATATTCAAAATAAAGAAATATTTAAATACATCACCTCTATCATCACTTTTAAAGGTACACTTCATTCAAGAATCCTGTCATTATTTACTGACAATGCTCATTAGAATTCAAACCCATTTATTAAAAACTATGTCTGATTCATGAACAAATCATTCTTTTGAGTTGGATCTTTTCAATTAATCAATTTGGGTCACAAAACCAGTCTGAATGATTCACTCATGAATCAGACGCTATCGCAGATTCTTCAGAAGACTAGACTCACAAAGAGCCTATTTACTGATATTTTATGGTGCTTTCACATAATTTTTAAAGCATCAAACTATTATTTATAAAGACAATATGTATAGCATTAAAAGGCAATCATTTACAATTCAAACTTGTTTTAACAAAGCATTTAATATACTGTATAATCTTAAAAATAAAGGTTCCAAAAGACAGTTTTTGCAATGATGCCACAGAAGAGCCGTTCTTGGTTCCACAACGAACATTTAAGTGAACAGTTCTTAAAAAGAACCATTTTTTTCTTAGTGTGAAAAACATTTTAATAATGTGAAGTACCTTTTTTCCACTATAAAGAACATTTTGTGCAATGGAAACTTGGATGCAATAGATGTTACAGGTTCTTCATGGAACCATTAAAAAAACCCTATATTTTTAAGAGTGTCAGATACCTGTATGTAGCACTATAATGTGTTGGAAGTATTGGGTCTGGAGTCAGTGTCCAAGAGCATATTGCCCTTTTAGGGTAACTTGGAGACCAACAATGCACATCCGGAGGAGAAGGGGGATCTGAATAGAGCAAACATTACACAGTGATGAAATTTCAGTTTAAGCTCTTTGTCTCATAGGAAAATAGTGAGACATTTTACCAGACTGACATGTACAGCAATAAAGGAAAATACGCATAAACCTACATCCCAGGTGTAGAGATACTGTTTGTATCAGATCTCCATTCAGTTGGTGGCAGGTGTAGATGCCTTGGTCCTTCAAACTGCTGTTCTGTATAAAGAGAACAGGGCTTGAGACAAGCACTGAACTGTTGAATCTCCACTCCACCCCTTTTTCTTCTCCGTCAGAGCATGGTATCTTCACAGATGAACCCACTGCTACAAACAGGTCTATTGAGGGAGGTGAGGAGGAAAAGAGACAGGCTTGGACAGATCCAACACGCTGTGTGTGTGTGTGTAGAGGTGTCTGTGCATGAGAGAGTAAGAGTCTGTTTTCTGAACAAATAAAGCTTACCTCGAGTCTCTGGCAGTAAGGTTGTCGTGTCTTGGCTAAAAACTCCACTTGTTATGGCTAGTGCTCCAAAAACATATATCAAGCACATTTTTTGGTGTTTTGTGGTTACAAGAACGTAAAGTTGGTGCTTTTATAATAGAAGAAACTAAGTATGTGTGTAGTCACACACAGATTTAGAGGTTCAAGCTGTTCTGTTGTGGAATTTTGTTAATCATTAGTTGGTAAATCTATTTGCAAAAGAAGGCAGGCTACTGTTGGGCACCAGTGTGGAAATAAATACCTGAAATTAAAAAAATGCACGTATACGTGTATAAGGGTCAATGACACATTAGGACATGAAAGATGATAAAAATGGAAAATGCAACTAAAACACATAGTGTTTAAAAATGTTGTTTTAAATCACGTGCAAATTCCAATTATTTCATAAATAATAGATCTCAACAACAACAAAAAAGAGTAGATTCAAAAACTAAATTAGGCCTTATGTAAAAATGAAGTCAAAAAGCATGAGTTCAATAACCCTCTGTATTAAACATGATGAATTTATTTTAAAGGAATGGCTTGCCAAAAATGAAAATTTACTTAAAATGTACTCACAAATGAGTTTGTTTCTTTATCAGAACAGTTTTGAAGAAATTTAGCATTACAGCACTTTCTCACCAATGGATGCAGTGGATGGGTGCTGTCAGAATGAGAATCCAATCAGCTGATAAAAATGTGACAATCCACAAGTAATGCACATTCAGGATAACGCTTCTTCCAGTTAAAACATCCATCCCCTGTTGTCTTCTCACATCAAAATCCACAAACATATTTACTTAGAACTGTTTTTGCCTGTTAACAGTGCTTGAACTGTTCATATTTTCACTGGAGAAAGCAATATTATTGATAGGGGAAACACCGGCTTAAAGTTAAAAAATGGCTTGATGCTAGATTTGTTTTTTTTAGAAACACAGCTTTTCGCTTCACAAGGTGTTAAATTGATGGACTGGAGTTGTGTGGATTACCTGTGGATTACTACGATGTTTTTATCAGTTGTTTGGACTGGATTCTGACGGCACCCATTCACTGCAGAAGATCCATTGGTGAGCAAGTGATGTAATGCTTCATTTCTCCAAATCTGTTAAGATGAAGAAACCATTTTTGAATTTTTGGGTGAAGTATTCCTTTAAAATAATGTTTACTATACTACTACCTACTACTGGGTCAGTGCATACAAATAACCACTGATAATGAAGTTATGAAATATTAAAATCACAGTTTCCTCAAACAATAGATACTACAAACAATTAATGCATCAACACGTCATTAGTTTTATGTTTGCAAAACAGAAACAGGACGCACTTGTGGTTAATAAAACAGATACAATCCAGGAGATATTCTGACATCAGTACAGAATCCCAAGCATTTATGTGCTCAGTGACAACAGCACCCAGCCGTCCAATCACTGGATTCATACCTCAAGGTGCATCCTAGCAAAGTGTGT